TTTTTTTGGTTTTTCGAGACAGGGTTTTTCTGTGGCTTTGGAGCCTGTCCTGGAACTAGCTCTGTAGACCAGGCTGGCCTCGAACTCACAGAGATCCGCCTGCCTCTGCCTCCCGAGTGCTGGGATTAAAGGCGTGCGCCACCACCGCCCGGCTTCGAAGAAGATTCTTGACATCAACCTCAGACCTGCTTGCCTGCACACACCTGTGAACACACACATATACCAACACTCACTCCCAGCACTCAGGAGGCAGAGGTAGGTGAATCTCTGTGAGCTCGAGACCAGTCTAATCTACAGAGCGAGTTTCAGGACGACTAGAGCTGTTACACAGAGAAACCCTGACTCAAAAAACCAAAATCAAATAATTTAAAATAAAGAATGAACTCTGCTTCGGTGGACTCAGGGGTTTCCAGGGATTCTTTTCTGCCGCTAGAGGGCGCCCGTCTTTAGCTCGGCTTTCGGGTAGCCAGGGAGCGGGCAAGGCGAGGGGTCTCCAGCCGGAGGTCCAAGGACCAGAAAGCCTGGGGTGGAGGAAGAGCAAGACCCTGGGGATCCTGCCTCCAGGTCCTCACTGAGGCCACAGAGATTCGGGCGAGTTTCCTGCACTCGCGTTGATCCTGGTGGCAAGGCGCACAACGGCCGCTAGATGGGGACTGTCGTTTGTGTGCTAGGTCAGGGCAGAGATCTATGGCGTGTCCCTCTGGGGCGTGTCTCCGAAGAAAGTTCTGGAAAGAAAGGTAGCTTGGAGATCCAACCTACTGCCTACAGTGGAGGTCACGGGGAGGGCTTCTTGGTCTCTAGTGAGAAGCCGTATTGGCTCCGGAACACCGCGCCTACTGCCATCCCGACGGAGCCTGAAAACCAATCCAGGCTGCGCTAGTCACCGGGTCCCCATAAATCACTTATTTATGGCAGGGCGGGGGTCGGGACCGTCGGATCAGGACCACAGGATCTGTGTCCAAGGGGCGCGCACGGCTGCGTCGGGGACCCAGGCCTGCCCGTGACGCCCCGCCCAGCCCAGGGTATCATCTGCTGGAGGCGTCTGCCCCGGGGACGCGCGAGTAGCGACCTGTCCCGACGCTGGGTGAGGCGCCCAGCTGGGTACCACCCAGCGAGATGCCCACCCCCGCCTGCCCAGGCGTCTCCAGGGATCCGAAAGCTAGGCATGCCCAAATAAGAGAGAGAAATTCCTCTTTTTGAGTTTTTAATTTCATTTGTGTTTTTGGCAGAATCTCATTCTGTATCCCAGGCTTGCCGCCCCTTCAGGGCGATTCCCTTGCCTCAGCCTCAGAGAGTACTGCGATAGCAGGCATGAGTCACCGTGCCCAGCTTTCCTCCTTTTGCACAAGGAAGCATTTTGGTGACCTTTGTAAAGATGACACAGTTTCACATAAAGGTATCACCAAATGCCAGAAGGCTGCCGGAACACACGGCTTGCTGTGCAGAAGGCACTTGATGCTCTTGCATTAGACCCGTGTCGGGCCCCTCACAACTGCTTGTAACAACACCTCCAAGGAATCTGACACCCTTTTTACTCATGCACACGTACCCCACACAGACACACACACACACACACACACTCACAAAATTACAAAATAGTTACAAAGTAATTGATGTGGTAGTGCCAGGCAAGAGAATGGCCGAGTGAGGCCACACTATAGTTTACCTTTCCCCCACCCCACCCTCACCACCTGGGGGCTCCCCAAATGAAATCCCGCCGGGCTTCGGCTAAGCTACCTCCTTGCCTTGAGGGTTTGAGGGGCATCTCAGATAGGGCTCCCTTTAACCTTGGGTCACTATGTTTTGGGTTTTTTTGTTGTCCGAGACAGGGTTTCTCTGTAGCTTTGGAGCCTGTTCTGGAACTAGCTCTTGTAGACCAGGCTGGCATCGAACTCACAGAGATTAAAGGCGTGTGCCACTACCGCCTGGCTGGGTCACTATGTTTTTCTCTGAGCCTCAGTTTCTTCAGCCATACATAAAGGACACGGACACAACCGGGAACTACAGCTACACTTTATTCGCCATTCACAACCCTTCTCTCCGAGCCTCCCCGACGACCCTGACGCCCTCGGCTCAGAAGACATTCACTGAGTGCAGCTGCACGTCTCCGCCCACTTCCACAACGCGCACGTTCGCGGGTGGCATCCGGTGCTTGAAGTGGAGGTACTCACTGTCCCCGACCACTGCCTGCAGGGTGAAAGATGAAGTTAGGCCTGGATGCGGATCGCGGTCTGCGACCCTGGAAGACGCTAACCGCAGCGAGCCTCTCTCCTTAGAGGGTCTGTTGTCCCTTGTAATGGGACACAATGAGTTAAGATCCACACAGTACAAAGGTGTTTCCCAAGTGTGGGCGGCTGATGTCCCGACCACTAGAGCGCGCACTGCTACTACAGCGGGAGTTGAAGGTGGTGTGGGTGATAGTGGTCCACACCAGACCAACAGGGAGGCTGGTTTGTGTTCACAACACCCTGCTAGGACACCCATCCCAAGGGCACGTGGCTCTTGATCACTCAGTCTTGTCGCTGTTAAGGGCAGGTCTGTGTCTGTGTCAGGAGCTGGGCCCCTGTCTCAGCACCCCAAGACCTTTCCCCCCACCCTCACTGCAGCTCAGTACTCTGCTCTAGACCCGGGTCTGACCCATTCCTCTTCAAAGATGCACCTTGAAGCCGTCTTCTGTGGCTATGAGGAGCACTTCAAAGGGTTGCCCCCGTTGGAAGGGGATGCCGGAGCCCCGCTCCTCGCGGCCCCATTTGCCTTGCTCTTTAGTGTTGAAGACAACCTCGGACGTGTCGAGCCTCGGGTTAAAGTGCAGGGCGGCGTCTGCCCCCTGCTCCTCGCTGCACAGCAGGTTTATATGGAACCTGCCGGGAACAGTAGGCCTCAGAGATCAGCAACCACCATGCGCAGGTCCCCGGGCACGCCCACACCCACACAGAGTCCCTGTGTTTATAGCCAAGATCCAGTTCCAGACGCTGGAGCTGTCCTGGAGTTCTGGTGTGATGGACGGCCTGCTGTTCCTATATTACAGGAATCCCACCCCAGATGAGCAGGGCCAGTAGCATGGACCCCATTATTCCTGATTACCAATTCTCCCACCAAGTCCAAGGTCTCAATTTTAGTAGACCACGGGTTTGATGACCAGGTACCCTGGGCATCCAGGGTGGCATCAAGACCCAAGGCAGATTTTCAGGCTCCTGAAAAACGGGACATGGAGCTCCTGGGACTAACCAGGGACTTTTTTTTTTTTTTTTTTTTTGGTTTTTCGAGACAGGGTTTCTCTGTAGCTTTGGAGCCTGTCCTGGAACTAGCTCTTGTAGACCAGGATGGTCTCGAACTCACAGAGATCAGCCTGCTTCTGCCTCCCAAGTGCTAGGATTAAAGGCATGCGCCACCACCGCCCGGCTAACCAGGGACTTTTGAGGTTGCCCTAGAATCCTAAATTTCTAGGGAGACCTGTGCACCCACCCACGAAGCCTTGGAGGAAAATTAGTGAATACATCCAAATTAAGATAGCAACAGGGAACCAAAAGCCCCACTTGACAGAAAAGGCCCCAGGGACCCCATGTATGGGCTATAAGAAACAGGGATCCACTGAGCCAGGAGAGCCCCCACACTTTCCCCCTGGAGCCCAGGGTGTTACCTGCCAGCCTGTTCCGGGACAACGCCTCGGATTCTCATGACAGTGCCGGTGCGGACGCCCTGAGGCAGAGGGGTCTTGTGCTCGGTGGCCTGAAAGATTTGGGTGGGACAGGGGTGAGAACCAGGTAGACAAAGAAACAGATGGGTCAGTTCCAGCTAGGAACTTCAGGGAAAGGGCCGAAGACGAGAGGGGATGCAGATTAGAGAGGCAGCAGCATGAAGAGAAACGGACACAAAACAGTGACAAGGAGGGATACCAGCAAGGCACGGCCCGTGAGGTCCTACCCGTGAGACCCAAGAGACAGGCCACACTCAGCTCTCCTGGTGCCTGGATTGTTGGGCTTTGATGAGGAGGTTTCAGCAAGGCCAGGCCTCCTGATCTGTCCCACCCTGGTCCCAGCTCCCCCAGTCTCAGAACACTTACGGGGCTCGCGGACATGGCTGGTACAGCAATATGGAAGCAATGAGGCCGGGAGCCGCGGGAGGAGACCTTAAGTAAAGGGTGCAGCTCCACCCTTCCCACCCAACACCCACACCTGGCACAGACCCCGGCCCTAAGGGCAAATCTGTTAAGACTGGGCCAGTCTCCTCCCGCCCTGCCCCCACAGCAGCTGGGGGTGCGGCTGTCTTCCCCTTTCCTAGGCTTGTAGAATAGGGATATCCTTCAGCACCAAGACTGGAGAGGTTCTCTCTCTACCCCCCTCCCTCCACGGCCCCACCCGGCATAGGACTTCTCTGGATCCAGAGAGACTCATCAGCCAGAACCGCCACCACCTCTTTCCCAGAGGGAGCCTCCTCCCAAGAGCCAGGCTGTTTCTGCTTGGCCCAGCCCAACTCTACCTCTGGCAGACACAATAGCTCAATGGTATTTATTGGGGGCCCCAGGAAACCCATCATTCCTTCTTGTCATATGCCAGGCCGAGGTTACCAGAGTGTTGTTATGTCTGGCACATTGGAAGTGCCTGGTGGTGGAGGGTGAAATGAAGAAGGCACACTTAGCAGTGACCCCGCCTAGGCCTCTGGGTGTCCAGAGGTGTGTGTGTGTCAGCATCCCTGAAGCCACCAGGACACACGGAGAGCAGCCTCCCCAAAATATTAACATACAGAGGACTGAGCTGGAGGGAGCAATTTCCCCAAAGATCAAACGGCCACAGGCGTTTTGTGGCCCCCTCCCTGTGGTTCTGCCCTGGGTCTCCATTCCTTTCCTTTTCCTCTCAAGTCTCCAGCAGAGACTTCTGACCCGAGCCCATCTTCCCACCCAGTTTGGGTGAGATGGGATAGGGGTTGGTGAGTGTCCCAGCTCCAGTCACCATCCAGATAAAGTAAACACAATTGGGACATTGTTAAGAGCCCGGGTTTCAGTCGCCAGGACTCTAGAGGAAGTGTGGGGGAAATCAGAAAGAATGGAAAAGGAAGTTTCTAGAAGGCAAGCAGAAGAGGGTGGAAGTGCGGACCAGTTACCACTCCTAACAGCCCAACAGCCTTCCTGGAAGATCTTCCCCATCCCTACCCCCCCTCCTCTGCCCCACCCACCAGGTGGTAGAGTCCTGGGCCAGTTGCACACTGGGAATAGAAAGCTGGGTGGGGACTGCTTCCTCTCTGTTCCTCTGTCCCAGTATCCAGATTCCCAACCCTAGAACACACATCAAGGACTCCCACGTGGAGGTCCAGAGAGGGAGCAGAAGATTCGAGAAAAAGTGGGGAGCTGCAATGCTAGGGAACAGCACCCTCTTTTGTGTAGGAGAAAACAGGCTTGAGCTGGGTGTGATGACCCACACCTGGAAATCAGCACTTGGAGGTGGAGGCAGGAGAATCAGCTCAAGGTCATCCCTGACTTCACACTGAGTTTGAAGCCCGGGCTGCACAACACTGTCTCAAAAAACAGCAACTGCCGGGCTTGGTGGCGAACGCCTCCATCTCAGCACCTGGGAGGCAGAAGCAGGCAGATCTCTAGGAGTTAGAGACCAACCTGTTCTACATATATATCGAGCTCTGAGATAGCCAGGGCTACATAGAGGGACCCTGTCACAAAAAACAACAACCCAAATGGACAACGGCTGGAGGGATGCCTCAGTGGTTAAGATCATGGCTGCTCTTGCAGAGAACCCTAGCTCAGTTCCCAGCATCCTCATCAGGGGTCTCATCACTGCTTAAAACTCCAGGGATCTGACGCCCTCTTCTGGCCTCTTCAGGTACCCACACACATGTGGCACACACACACACACACATACACAATTTACATTTAAAAGCAAACCTTGGGTTAGAGAGGAACATCTTAGAGCAGGTTTTGAAGGCTTTACCTTGGGATTCTACAGGACAGGGACACACCAGAGGGCTGACCCAGAGGACATTGGGTTTCACTTTGCTGCCCCCTCTGCTTGTCAAACTTAGGCCGAAAATTGTGGCTCCTATTATTCTAACATCACGCTCTGTGTAAACCACTGTCTGACACTTGTCTGAACCTCGCTTGGTTATTACTGGTTCCCACAGACCGGCTCTCATTTCTGCATCAGCACTGGATCTGAGTTCATGTGCGGCTCTTTGCAGGTCTGGGCTTGTCCTCAGTGATTGGCCAAAAGCTTGCGTTCAACCCTTTATCAGTTCCTATATCTGCCTCCTGTCTGGGAACAGAGAAGTGCTGAGTCCCTGACTGACTCCTCTTTGTATCAACGATCTTTGTTATAAGCTCTGAATAATATCCCCTTAAACATATTTTTCATTTCTAATTCATTAGTGAATGTATTTATTTCCTATGACTCATCTTTACAGAAACATGCTATGGATTAAGAAAGATTTTAACAGAATAGGTCCTTGAGGGTTTTTTGGGGGGAGGGGTGTTGCTGTTGTTTTGTTTTTAAGACAAAATTTTATATAGCCAAGGCTACCCTTGAACTAATTAGCCAAGGATGGCCTTGAATTCTTGATCCTCTCTACCTCTCAAGTGATAGGCATATGCCACCACCACAACTGGTCTATGCAATGCTGGAGGTTGAACCCAGAGTTTTGTCTTTGCTAGACAGGCACCCTACCAACTGAGCCACATCCCCAGCCCTGCCGTGGGAACTTAAAACCCAAGACAACCCAGGACTCCATCCATCAACTTTAGTCTGTTGGAATTTTTTGTTTTGTTTTGTTTTTGTTTTTTTCGAGACAAGGTTTCTCTGTAGCTTTGGTGCCTGTCCTGGAACTATCTCTTGTAGGTCAGGCTGGCCTTGAACTCACAGAGATCTGCCTACCTCTGCCTCCCAAGTGCTGGGATTAAAGGCATGCTTCACCACTGCCCAGTCTGTTAGAATTTTTATTATTTTTATACACAGTGAAAATAATGAAGTGAAGCTGGGCAGTGGTGGCACATACCTTTAATCACAGCACTTGGGAGGCAGAAGCAGGCATATCTCTGTGAGTTCGAGGCCAGCCTGATCTACAAGAGCTAGTTCCAGGCCAGCCAGGATTACACAGTGAGACACTGTCTTCAAAACAAAACAAAACAAACAAAAGACAACCCACCACCACAACCAACCAAACCAAAAAAAAAAGAAAAAAAGAAAAAGAATAAAGAGATAATAGAACGAGAAGATAATAATATTTATGATTTGATGAAAATCTAAACTTTAAAGATTTTATTTTGACTTAAGTATGTGCCTAGAGATGGAGTATGTGCACATGAGCGTAGTGCCTGGGACAACTAAGAGAGGGTGTTGGGCCATGCAGTGACAGGGGGATCTCAGTGAGTTTGAAGCCAAGCTGGTCTACAAGAGCTAATTCCAGGACAGCCAGGACTGTTAAACAGAGAAACCCTGTCTTGAAAAACAAGAAAGAAAGAAAGAAAGAAAGAAAGAAAGAAAGAAAGAAAGAAAGAAGGAAAGAAAAGAAAGGAGAGTGTTGAATCCCCTGAAACTGGAATTACAAGGATTTATGAGTGTCTGACATGAGTTTTATTTGTTTTTATTTTATGTGTATGGGTGTTTTGCCTGCATATGTGTTTGTGTGCCATGTGAGTGCAGTACCTGAGGAGGTCAGAAGAGGGCGTCAGATCTCCCAGAACTGCAGTTATAGACAGTTGTGAGCCAATTTGGGTCTTGGGAACAGAACCTGAGTCCTCTGGAAGAGTAGCCAGTGCTTTTAACCACTGACCCATCTCTCTAGCCTCCTCTTTCTTTCTATTTAGATGAAGTCTCCCTGTAGTCTCAGCCTCTCCACTGCTGGGATTAAAGGTCAGAGTCACTGCACCTGCGGGAAAGCAGATGCTTCTGATGATAACTATAGTGAATTGAAGACTCTGGTCTCTGCTGAGGGCAGGCTTTTTCTTGTAATGTTCAGCTCTGTTTGTGAACTTATTTAATTAAAAGCTCTTGACTATTTTAAGCTGACAGCATGGTTTTACCAGGCATTCATTTTTTGCTGTTCTAATTGTGCAGCAAGCATTTCTAGGTGATAAACTAGATCTTGTGCATTCCAGGGCCTGATAATAAAATGCTCTGGATGGCTCTCTCCTCTGACTTCCTGTCTTTCTCCCTTCCCAAGTCTCATTGTGCAGACCAGGCTAGCCTAGAACCCCGCAGAGATCTGCCTGCCTCTGCCTACTGAGTGTTGTGATGGAAGACAGGCACCGCCAGCTGTGACAACCCACCCAGTTTTCGGAGACAGCCTGGAGTTCAATGATTGGCTAGGTCACCTAGTCATCAACCCCCAGGGAGCCATCTGTCTCCAAATCCCCAGAGCTGGGATTATAAGTGTGCTCTGCCAAGCCCGGTTTCTTACGTGGGTACCGAGGATCAAATTCATCTTCTCACGCTTGTGGGACAAGCACTTTACCAAGGGAACATTTTCCCCAGCCTCCTCAGTGGCAGCCCCAAAGAGTACGAGATGAGTTGGCCACCCCTCCTGGAGTGATTAACAGTGCTGAATGGGCGGCTCACCTAGAGGTCTTTGCTTGGTTTGAGATTATAATACAATTATAATATTTCTCCCTTCCCTTTCCTCCCTCCAAATCCTACCATATACCCCTCCCTAATCCTTTTAAGTCCATACCTCTTTTCCCCTTATATATATATATTGTATATATACATATATTTGAATATATGTTTAAA